ACTTTTTATTTTTAAATTCGCCTCGACCCCCGGAAATCTGGGCACGGCAATGTGGATAAGGAAGTCTCACTTACCTGTCCTCTTCGAAGCATCTCGGCTTTTTTGAGCTTTTTCATTGCATAAACTTGACCTGTAGTCTTTTCTCTACAAACTCTAACCTACAAAAACAACAACATAGTATCCTTTAACAACTACCGGGAAAGAAAAGAATTGTATTCGCACGCGAAAGAGATCAAGAAAACATTTTGTACCTCCCCAAATGCACCTTTACCAATCATTGTGAGCAAATCGAAATCAGCAACGCCTAGCTTATGGCGTTGAAGGCGCATATACTCTGTTTCCTTCTTCTCCAGAAACTTGAGAAGATTGTTTTGATCTTCTTCAGACACATCAGCATCCGCTAGCTTCTGCTCTAGCACGCTTCGCCTGTTTATACCAAGAACCAAAACTAAATCACGCAATGTTCTACATTTTGGCTTCAAACAAGAGATATATATATATACCTTTCTTTTCTTTCTTGTAGAATCTTCATTTGCTCTTTGTAATGATTCTCAATGTACTGTTTAGCTGCTGCAACTTTCTGTTTGGTAGTGTTTGAGACGGTTTCTTCATCGGTTGTTTCGACGTGAGCTGATTCATCTGCAGAGACATTACTACCTCCACCACCTGAACCACCTTTATATCTCGATCCTCCACGCATCTGTCTCTTCTGAAACCAACCTTTTGCAGAATCCATATATATTGATCACTCTCTTTACAAATCAAGTACTCGATTTTATCATCTCAACAAATCTTTCTCCATAAACAAGAATCTCAAAATAATCAACACACATCACTAGAACACATAATAAAACATGTGTTTTTTTTTTCAGGTTTATCAAAAACAGACCTAAAGAATCGAAAAAAAAAAGATTAATAATCTTGACAGATTCAAAGCAAAGGAGGAAGAAAACAAATCTCCAAATTGGAAAAGAGAAAGAGAGGAAAAGAATGAGCGTGAATATCTCTAGAGCCAAGCACCTATTTCGCATGAATTTTGATGGTACAAATGTAAATATTCATTTAGATCATCAATGTCTGCCTTATTTTCAGCGTCATTTTCTCTCATTCTTTCATGCATACTTCTTTTCTTTTTACACACAAAAAAAAAAAATTAATAATGGACTTACATGAATAATTCTTCGTCATTTTTTTTCTTTCAATTTGATAGGATTTTAACCAATAAAATAGAAAACTTTGACTAGTTTCAATACAACAATACATATATGTTGAGATTTAGAATCCGAACTTCGAAAAGAACAACGCTGGCGGTTTACGAGTTCAATGTCAAATTTTGGCACATATGTTTCCGCGGCAGACCTTTACCAATTCAATGATTCGATGTTACAACTCTGAACTTGATCGAGAACGTTACATGAAAACTATTTTAACCCCCTGAACGCATGACCGAAAGTTTACTATTGAAAGCATTTTAGTCAAACACATGTTAAAGAGTTGTACTTCTTTAGCAAATATATACATTGCATCTCTAAACTCTAGTTTCTCTTCAGAGATCAAACCAGCAAGAAAGCTTTGAAGCTGTTGAAGAGACTTGTCATAACAAGGATCAGCTACACAGAACGTCTACCAGAAAAAACAGAGAAACATTAATGATCACGATCAAGACAAACATTCTTAAAAACATTGTGAGAAGCAGCAGCTTATGCCTTTGATTGTAGTACCTTGAGAGTGTTATGAATTCGTTCTTGTTCCATGCTACCAAAATTTGTGAGCATTCCCATGATGAATTTCTGAAAACATAATTGACAATTGCTTTAGATTTTTATATTTCTGGAGGCAAATGATTAGCCAAATGAAAGTTTTACTTGAGCATCACATACCTCGTATATTGTCATTTATTTGTGAAGTTGGTCTTCCACAGAGGAGACTGATCTTCCACTGTATTAATCACCTGCTAAAAGCTCCTCCCTTTCCTTTTTTCCAAAATCAGTCATGGATTCAACAAGCGTATACACACTAGCATTTGAGTCTATTCCGGTAGATTCTCTCAAAACTCCCTAAGTTGAGGAAACTTTACAAGTTAGCTCTTCCTCCAAATAAATGGTTTAAAGCACAAGACGACAATCACACGTATGTACCTTGCTTATCCACAAGTTTACTCTTCGGTTTATTGCGTCAATGAGTATCCCAATTACTGCAACAAGATCTATAGAGGTCCTACTGAAATTATTTACATGATTTCAGTAATTCCTCCTCCATTTTAGTGAATGGAATCAATCACAAGAATCTACACCGTTCCATAAACGTATGATATAATAGATGAAAACTCAGAAAGAAGAATATATGAACACCTGAATTGGTGGCCAGAAGTTTGTAGAAAGTATCGTCGAATTAAGAGCGTCAACAGATATCTCACTCTCAACATTGCAGAGGTATAATTGATAACCATTCAGAAATATAACCTTTTTTTTTTTTTTTAGGTTCCAGTACTTAGAAACGATTCAATAGTTTAGCAAGATAAAATTTAACAGTGAAAATCGCCTTGAGAAGTTGGACAGTGCGTATCTCAATGTCGATGTCATAATCAGTCTTGTTGAGAAGCTTTTATAACACGATATTCATTCACTAGTTGCTCTTTAGATCCAATTATATCAGCAAGCATTCAGTGTATGTCTACCTTCCTCAAACCCCCCACAAGGTGAATGAATGAGTTCCAATACTTCTTAATCCCTTGAGAGAGGTTATACTTCATTATACTTACATCGATATCTCTGTTACCTTTAGGTGGAATATCGACTTCTGGTCAAATGTCGAGGGACATTGCTTTTACAGCAACATGGGTACATCCAAGACGATTACCAAATTTTGTGGGACTCGCAAAACAAAACCCACAAAGTAAGGAGTTGCACAGTGTTCTTGAGTGTTTGCAATCGAGAAATCAAAATAGAGCAGACCGGTGGTCTTTTTTGACACTGTAGACTCAGTACTTAAGTGTAGTCTGTTTTTAGATGGACGAAAGACTAGAGGAAAGACTAGGCCACGAACATCTGATATTGGTCGAAATTGTAGAATTATTAATAGTTAACGGATTATGAACAACCTATTGTATCCTTATTATCTTTTTTTCTTTCTTTTGTGAAACCGCGCAGAGCCTATCAGAGAGCCAAAGGCAGGCGTCTTCTGGGACTCGGAGGATTTCCCATTCCCTCTTGGTCACAGTCTTGATATGATCTACAAGGCAATCAATTCAGCTTTATATAAAAGGGGTGTTATTGGTGATATGTCAATCTTTGCTTATGATCTTGATGAAAAGGAAGAGACTTGCGGTGACAAGAAAACGTGGGATTCAAGAATCGACTTCTATCGCGAAGGTGAATTCTTTTATATCCAAACACAGCTCTTTCTTTCTCTTTTCT